TGCACATCGTTTTCTTGGAAAGAGAAAGCATAGTTTGCTATCTCTTTTTAATCTTCACCGATGGCAGACGCGAAGGGACTGCTGCAAGCCATTGTGGAAGTTCCGGTTGCATTCGGGTGTAAAGCAAAAAATGATTAAACTCAATCTCACCACAGTTTGGTGAGATTTGTAGATGGTGAGTTTTGTTAGCTTGATATTCCGAGCTGCGATATCACAGCATGCAAAATCAACCGCAGTTGTTTGCTTGTTGATTTTTGTCTACGGCGTTGGTGAGGTTTGATTTTTTGATATTTTCCCAACACTGGTATCAAAATTGTTGAAATTTTGGGTTTGGGTTCCATTTTTAATGCAGATTACGAATATGCATTTACCTCAATACCCTTAAAGAACCCGATTGGAGTAACACTTAGTGATGTTGAAAAGTCAACAGATTTGGCCCCTAGTCGTTCTAAAAGAATTAGAAAAGCTAACATTGACGAAGAATTTGTAATCATTTTTTACGTTCTTATTTGCATTGTATGAAGCCTTGAAAAAGAAGATTATATGAAACTGTTGTAGTAGTGAATTGGATTGTAAATGCTTTCTGAAGAGGGAAGAGCTGATGTGTTCTGATTTAGAGTGCAAACGATAAATGTCGTTAAACGAAAACACCATATGATGTTACGTATGACAGTTGGACCAGGTCGACAAGGTCTGATCGTATGGAAAATAAAAAGGAAGATCATTCCAGTCTGAAACATCAAACGAAGTAGAGGTTCTTTTATTTTGCTCCGTAAAGTCACGGTTTCCACCATTGTATGTAGCATACAAAAAGTGAAAGGCTTTCGTCAGTTGGTCTTAGCTGTCAAAGCTGAACATTGCTTGGAGACACACGGATTGTCTATTATCATCAAATTCGTTTAGGAACTATCCAAATTGTTCTTCCATGCACCCCTCAAATAGGAATCAGCTTTGTCAGAAATGATGTTTGACTTTGATTTAGCTGGGCTATTTTGAAAATAATTTAAAGTGTTCTAAAAATGAATTCTAAAGAAAATTTGACGGAATTATGAGAGGAGAAACTGCAGAATTGAGGAGAATTTCAAAGGAACGACGAGAATTATTGGAACATTTGGTCTGTTATAAAGAATTACTCGACTGAAAGAAAATGTAAACGGAATCTCATAGAGATTCTCAAAATTATTAGAACTCTGTGAACGGTAATGATTTTACAGAAAATTCATGTCAATATTTCAACAAAATCCTGTGAAGAGTACTGTGTAAATGTCCAACTCATACAAATTTTGATGTTTCTGTAACTGTAACTGTAACAGCTTCCACTCACTTGCTATACAAACATGTTTTTCGGACTTATGAAATCACTAGTTTCTATTGGGAACGCACATGATATTGTTTCCCAATTACAAAATTAATGATTTTTATCTGAAATTCACATAACGTTCATATGATCACATGAATTCTATGTGATAAATCACATAAATTTCATTGGACATATGAGGCTCATGTGGTTTTTAGCTGCGATTCCCAATCATGAGATCACATGAAAGTTATGTGAAATTATAATGGATATTTTCCATTGGAAATTTGATTTATTTTTTGAGTGTAGCGAAAGGCATTTATTTGTCTAAAAAGCCACCCCAAGGTTCATGATACATATAGCCAAAACAGGGTTACTGTATTGCCTAGGCAGGAACAATGTAAACACACTTAGATACATAGTATCAATTAAGGCTGGCTAGTTACTGTAGTAGCTGGAGGTCCTATGTTAAAATAAAATGTAATTTATTTTGAAGGTGGAACAAATAGAGAGTTAAAAAAAATAAAATTTCACCATTTAGTTCTAGTGCATCTTAACAACCTTGAAAATGAAAATCAATCTGCTAGTTTAGATGCTTAAGTTACAGCAAGTAATTCGGAGTGAAATGTTACAACTTAAGGCTAACTAAAAGAAAATTGGTACGCCCTTCGCGCACCGCTAGCATGCCTCTAGTGTTGGGAATCGAAAATCTTTGACAGTTGTTTGTTAACACTGCTATAGAGAGCAACTGGTGCAAGTTTGATCAAAGTAGTCGATCGCGTTCAGAAATAACGTCAAATGGAACTCGAAAGAAGAAAAATATATTTTGGTGGGTCCGGTTCCAAGCTGGCAAAAGTGCTGAAGATGCCGAAAACAACAGTTTGTCAAGTGCTCAAAACCTACAAGGAAACCCTGAATGTGAAAAGGAATCAGCGGACTTACGAAAAAACTGGAACCAGGGATCGTCAGCTGCGCAGCAAGGTGTTGAGGTGCGTTAAAGCCAACCCCGGTCTTTCGAACCGAGATGTAGCCAGAAGGTAAAATGCCAACTTTCAAACCGTGCGGAACATCCTTGCCAGGGAAGGATACAAGTCGTACAAAGCCAGTAATCATTCGACCCGGCACATGAAGCACATGTATTCCGTGGCCAACAAGCGTGCATGGCTCTTGTACGACCGTGTTTTGACGAAACACAAGGGCTGCACTTTGATCGATGACGAAACATACGTGAAACTCGATTTTAAGCAGCCTCTTGGTCAAAAGTTTTACATCGCGACTGGACGTGGGGATGTGCCGGGAAGATTCAAGTTCGTGTTTGCCGACAAGTTCGCGAAGATCGCCATGTTTTGGCAAGCGATTTGCAGTTGCGGCCTGAAAACGGAACCATCCATCACATCCTCGACGATGACATCCCAAGTTTATATCGAAAAATGCCTGAAAAAGCGTGTATTGCCGTTCATCCGCAAGCATAGAGGCAAAGTCATCATTTAGCCCGATTTGACCAACTGCCACTACTCCACGGTGGTTCTGGAGTGGTATGCTGCCAACAAGATCGATTTTGTTCCCAAGCTAATGAATCCTCCGAATTTCCCGGAATATCGACCAATCGAAAAATACTGGGCAATTTCAAAGCAGCGACTTCGACGAAGCAGCGGGGCCAGTCAAGGACATCCAGCAAATGTGGGCAAAATGGAAGAAATGCGCTGATTGCGTGTCCGTTTCCACTGTGCGGGCGCTGATGGGTTCCAACAAGAGGAAGGTTCGAGATTTCGTTCGAACTGGAGAAATGTAACCATCTCATGCTGTAACTTTGAAGTTCCAATAAAAGTACTGTTAAGCAACCATTAATGGACTTTTTAAACTTATTGAATCGCGAATTACAGGTCTTTTTATTCGTACCAATTTACTTTTGCTCATATTCTGTGTTTTCAATGAAGGTACACTCGAGAGCGCTATTTTGAATTTTGATAGGGAGATTAATAGCACTAAACTATATTTTTTAAGATGGGTTTACTGAACATTCAATTGGATTTAACGTAAGCATTTTATATTAAAAAGTGATGAAAAAGTCCCAAAAGAACGATCCATCACTGCTCCTAAGAAGTCAATTGGAATCTTTTTAAGAATTTACGTTTAATTCACTCCAGATTTTCCTTTGACTTTCTCATAAGAATTAACTTGCAGATCATCTCACATTTTTAATAGATTTCTCCTCAAAATTCGATTGGACTTTAAGTCAGAACTTTCTTGGAATTCTTATGAATTTATCCTGAAATCCTTTTAATTTGTCGAACCTCTTAACGGAATTCCTTTACCAAGAGCTTTGAGTGGGTTGGTTTATTTCCTTTAAATTCCGTTATAATTGCTTATCTTTTGACAGATACGCGTATTTCGTCTACTACTTGCAGACTTCATCAGTGCCAAGTGAGTGGTGTTGAGTACTTGGCACTGATGAAGTCTGCAAGTAGTAGACGAAATACGCGTATCTGTCGAAAGATAAGCAATTATAACGGAATTTTAAGGAAATAAACCAACCCACTCAAAGCTCTTTATCCTGAAATGATTTGCTGATTGAATTGTTATAATTTTTTGAGCATACTCTCTAAGAATTTTCCGAAATTTACAGTGGAATTACACTCTCCCAGAGACTTCTTGAAATTATCATTATGATTCCCATTGTTTTTGTCTTTGAACTGTATTGTAGTTCTCCTCAGAATTATCGTACAAAAATCTTAGGAAAATTTTCTCAAATATCATAGAAATTATGCTCGGTATATTTTATTATTTTTCGGTAAAGTTTCCTTGGAAACTTATTCATAATTATCATGGAATTCGACTCAGAACTATCTTATTATTTACCTTAGGTTTCATATTGAGTTCCTCACGTCGATTCCGGTATCCCCGGACATGTTCAGGATGGTGCTGCAGAAATGCCTGGACGAGGGTCACTTCCCTGACAGGTGGAAGATACAGAAGCTAGTGTTACTGCCGAATCCAGGAAAACTGCCGGGGGATCCACCATCGTATAGGCCTGTATGCCTGCTGGATACACTGGGAAAACTCTTGGAGATGATCATCCTAAACAGGCTAACGGAATGCACGGAGATTGAGCACGGATTATCGGAGTGGCAGTTCAGATTCCAAACAAGGTGGATGCAGTGGTCGAAAGACCCGAGAAACCGTCTGAACAGAAGCGGAGAGGAGATCGATATTGTGCCGTGGTAACGATCGACATCAAGAATGCGTTCGAAAGCGCTAGCTGGGAGTCGATCGTCGAAGCGCTTGATAGAATGAGGATGCCTTACTACCTGTTCCTGAGGAGTTACTTCCAGAACCGAGTTCTGGTAAACGAGACAGACATGGAACAGAAATTGATTCGGATCACAGCGGGAGTTCCACAAGACTCCATTCCTGGTCCAACGCTCTGGAACGGAATGTACAACGGCGTGCTAACGCTGAAGCTGCCCAAACGAGTTGAGATCGTTGGCTTTGCGGACGACGTCGTCTTGGCGGTAACAGGCGAGACGCTAGAAGAAGTGGAAGTGTTGTCAACCGAGGCGATCGTCATGATTGGTAACTGGATGCAAGAAGCGAAGTTGCAGATAGCCCACCACAAAGCGGAAGTGCTATTGGTCAGTAGCTGTAAAGCGGTGCAGCGACAGAAATCACCGTCGGGGAGCAAGCCATATCCTCGAAGTGCGTGATGAAATACCTGAGAGTGGTGATTGATGACCGGCTAAACTTCAACAGCCCCGTCGATTATGCCTGTGAGAAGGATTCTAAGGCCATCAACGCGATAGCTAGAATCATGCCAAAGAACTCTGGTCCCAGTAGTAGCGAGAGCTGTGTTTTGGCCAGTGTGTCGTGGTCGAGGTATGGAGGTCCAGCCTGGAAACTGAGCAGTACGTTCCGGCTCATGGCCAGAACCATCTCGTTGGAAGCAGTTTGTTATCGCGTTATCGCCGGAATGGTCTCTATTGGCATCACCCTGGCGGAGGACAGCGAGTGCTACATGCGGAGAGAAGCAGGAAGAGTACGGAAAGTTGTGAAAGTGGGATCGTTGGCTATGTGGCAACAGGAATGGAACGCGGTGTAGAACGGTAGATGCACACACAGACTAATACCGATTCTATCGCCGTCAGTGAACAGAAAACACGGAGAAGTCAACTTCCACCTAATGCAGTTCCTGTATGGCTTCTTCATGGAGGACCTGCATCGGTTTGGACACGCAGCGGCACCCCTCTTTCCGGAGTGTGGCAACGTGGACGAAACGCCGTCCTTTACGTGGAGCATGTCGTCGATGAAATGTGTCGAGAGGAGACCACTTGGAATGCCGTCAACAGAGCAGTCACGCAGATTATGTCGGATCTGCAACGTAAATGGAGAGCAGTAGCGATCTAGCAATGCCGGCTAGTGGTGAGAGTATAGTGGATACCAGATCATGCCAACTTCAGTACAGGTCAAGCTTTTGAAGCTTTCTTAAACCTTACTACAAAAAACAAAACAAAAATGGAGTTCATCAGAACTACCTTGCTTGCAGATTCCACTGGATATTTTTCTCACGTTCTTCCCAGAACTCCCTAGGAAAGAGTTTAAAATATTTCATCTTGGGTTTTTTGAGAAAGAGTGTTTTGAAGTTTACAACACCGATTATTAAGGCGTATATGGACTATTTCCGATACCAAACTATTACGAATTGAACAAATGCAGCCAAGCAAGGTTCAAACGTTGATTGAATTAATCCAAATAGCATTGAAGAGTTCTCTTTGACTCGCAAGTACGATCCGTAATGATTATGACGACTTTGTACAAAATCAATTAATAGGGGAAAAGTTGACTTCGGCAATACCTGAACCTATTATCGTCAGGGGGTAAACAACGTCCTTGTTAGTTCAATTTTGGCATGTGGATATATTGTGTTTGCAACTATTGGCCAAATTTGAGTGCTCTAGGACTTTGTTTACCCCCTTGACGATAATAGGTTAAGGTATTGCCGAAGCCAACTTTTCCCCTATGTGTTGCTAGAATAACTTCTTGTTTAATTTCCTTTCCCTCATAAGAGTAAAAGAGAAAGGAACGAGCAGGACCATCCAAGACAGCGTAATCATAGTTGGCATCGAGTGTTTTTTTTTTGTAGATGTATCGTGTAGAAAATGTGGAAAAATTAAAAGAAAAATCTCACAAAGAAAATAGAAAATTCACTTGTTGTGCTTCGGAAAAGCGACTCCGCTTTAGTAGCGACGATCGTCGAAGGATTTTTATCGGAGCTCAATAAAGGAGATAGTATGTATCCGGAATTGTTGTATCCCGTAGCAAAGATAACGTTTGCAATCCTGAGGGGTGGAAAATTTGCTTGAATTTTTAAAAATAAATAGAGATGTTTGACTCAACTGCGAGATCGAAAATAAATTCTGGCAACCATGACAAATTTATTTTAAAATCATTTAACCGATAATGGCCATAATACAGGAATGAAACCCACACGAGGCTAGCTACTCTTGCCCAGTAAGTTTAGATACACACTTAGAAAAATTCATGTAAATTTAGGTGCTCTGAGACTGACATAGGGGAATTTACGTATGCTCGTCAATCTAAGCAGCGTCCGAACTTCTATTAGCGATTTCTCAGCGTCACATACATACATGACAGGTTTGTTTATTGACATTTATCTGTTGCTTGCTGTTTTACCAATTCCAATCGACAGAATTGATCAAAACGGGTTGAACATGTTTTTACAACGCTCCAAACTTCTCAAGTGAGAGTGACTATTGTCGGCAGTCTCTTTTTCTTCGGCACCCTTTCCATTTGAAATGCGTGTTAACCAGCTGTTCTATTATCGGCAACTCGAAATCAGCCGTATTTTGTAGCATGTATATTTCATTTAAAGAAAAATATGGTATAACAGGAATTCACAGTCGTAAAAATGTAATCAGATTGAAACTGAAAAGGTAAGGAATCGGCTTAATACATTCAGCGAAGAGTTTTGATGGGAAAATACAGTGAAATAAACGTTTCAATTTCGGTTGCCGAAAACAGTCAATGGGTGCCGAAGCCAAAATTTACCCTATACGATCGTCAATTTTGACATAAAATTGAGTCAAAATAGGCGCGAAATTCAGCTCAATCAAACGTACTTTTCGTCGAGTAACGAGCTTTTCAGTCTCGGAGCACTTAATGTTACATGACATGTTTGTTTACGTCTCATCCTTTATGTCAAAGGTGGATTCCATCACGTGTAAAATTAGGTATTACTAAGTGTGTAGCCCTCATCTTGAATTACTACAGAATTGCTAGAGCTTCTTGCAGTTCCCTTATTTTGTCTAAGAAAACTTTCAGGAAGATTCAGCGACTTTCTAGGAAATTCCGCGAACTATAGGGAACTGTAGTGTATTTTAGGAAAGTTCTGCAAACTTTAAAGACGTTCCTCCAAAGAATCAGAGCAACTTTTAGATAAGCTAATTGAACTTCAGGGAAGTTCTACAAATTTCAGGAAAATTATTCAAACTTTAGAGATGTGCTTCGATCTTCAGAGAAGTTCTATAAACCTCAAGAAAGTTCTGCCAACTTCAGAGACGTTTTGTGAGCTTCAGGCGAGTTTAATGTCCTCCTGGTAAGTTCTACGAAGATAAGAGTTTTTTTGTAAACTATAACAACATTGAATGAATGTTAATGATGCTCTGCAAAAGGTTCTTTAAACGTTAGATTTTTTTGCAAACTTTAGGATGGTCTGTGAGCCACAGGGAAAATTTACAAACATTAGGAAAGTTTAAAGAATTTCATCGCACTTCAACGAAATCAAGGGTTTAGCAGCGCCGGTGGTGTAGTGGTAAGCGTGATTACCTCTCACCCCAGGAGGCCTGGGTTCAATGCCAGTCGGCGCCGCCGGAATGTTCTGAGGCATAACATCTCTGATCACGCCTTCCTTCGGAAGGGGAGTAAAGCCGTTGGTCCCCGGTTCATGAGTTGATGGGTTGATAGGTAGGGTCCAGATGTGGGAGCTGCCTCCCTGGCGTCGGTAGCATAAGGTGATCCAAGAGACGTTTCTCAGTGAAACTGACAACTAGAAATCAAGAGTGTGTGAGTGATCTGGTGTTAGGGAACATGCATAAATGACGTAGCATTTGAGGGGGGAGGTGGGGGTTTCAGAATTTGTGACCGGCCATGTATTGGATATAGCCAAATACGCTACGAGGGGGGGAGGAGGGGTCTAAAATTGATCAAAAATATGCTACGTCATTTATGGATGCTCCCTTAATGGTTCTGAATGTAAACTTAAACAAAGCAGAAATTCATATGAGAATGAACTGTCAGTTCTACTGTGATCTGTCAAAAGTTCTTTGTAAACAAAAAAGTCAGCTGATCGCAACTGTCTCGTGCACAGCCTTATTGGTACTCAGCACGGAAAACATATCAAAGAGAAATCAAGGAAAAACTTCTGAACAGGGATTTGAATTTGAATGTAACTTCTATAAGCTGTCTCATCGGGTCGTTGGTGGAACAACTTCCACTCCATGTCTTAGAAAACAGGTATGATAGAGAGAATTTGTTGCGATGTATCTTTCTCTTTCACGCTTCCTTTATGAAATGTGATCAACTGCATGAGCAGGGTGGAAGGCGTAAAACAATGAGAGTTCGCCACCTAAACAAATACCGTGATAACGTATCACGCATGTTGCATTGCCGTTTACACCGTGTCCAATATATTCTCATACACCTTTCCATCTTGTCGTAGTGGTGTAGCTACAGTTCATACACTTTATATGGATTGGTGTAATCTTGCATTGTGTTTACACAAACCATTGACGGTTCTGTTTGCTTATTTTCATTCAGTATCCATTTTTTATCAACGATGAAAGAATTTCGTGCTGTGGTAATAAAAAAGTTTTTGGAAGGAGAGTGCCCTGGCGCTATTTTCAAGAGTTTGCAGAATCTGGGAGTAAAGCGGGATTTTGTGTATCGAACGAATTAGAAGGTACCGTGAGACTTCCTTGTTAGATGACCGGAAAAGATCCGGCCGAAGACGTTCAGACGAGTGATTAAGACCGTCAGGGAACGAGTTCGACGAAAATCACAACGCTCTGTACGTAAAATGGCCGCTGATCTCAATGTCTCGAAATCGACCATGCACAATGTACTCAAGCAGGACATGGGATGCCAAGCTTTCAAGAAACGTAAAGTTCACGGAGTTTCGGAACCTTCCAAGAAGAAACGGCTTGAAAGAGCAACTCTCCTACTATCGCGGCACGCTGGACGAGACTTTGTCTTTTCCGATGAAAAGTTATTTGTCCTGCAGCAGTCTCACAATTTCCAAAACGACAGGTTGTGGGCGTGTAGGTCCAGAGACATCCCAGATAGGGACAGAAACATTCCACGGTTCCAATGGGGAGGTATTTGCAAGCGCGGCAAGCTACTGCTTGTTTTTATCGAGAAAGGGGTTAAGATCAACGCTTTATATTATAAAATGGAAGTTTTGCAGAATGTCGTGAAGCCAAGCTTAGAAAGAATGTACGGGAAGGATGATTACGTGTTTCAGCAGGACGCGCCGCCTTCTCATACAGCAAACTTGGTCCAAAACTGGTGTCGAGCAAATTTGACCGACTTTTTGGCCAAGAATGAATGGCCTCCCAGTTCACCAGATCTAAACCCCTTGGATTATTGTGTGTGGTCATACATGCTGTCAAAAATAAACGAACACAAGATGTCCACTTTGGTTCAGTTTAAAGCCGTAATCCTTCGAATTTGGGACGAAATGCCGATGGAAGTCGTGCGTGCCACTTGCGATGGGTTTGAAAAACGTTTGAAGCTGGTCAAAAAGGTTAAAGGCGGTGTTATTCCGAAGCATATGCTGTAATTGGTCCATACTATATTACCTTTCAATAAGCACAATTACTAATAAAATCTGAATAACTGATGTGAAATAATCGAAATTTAAATTTGTATGAGAATATATTGGAGACGGTGTACAATCAGTTTATGAAAATTGAGGTTCACAAATACCCAGAAGAAAGATGGTAAACCAAACATTGAAAGAAGTTCAAACCAATTTGACTGTCGAGTAGTGCGGGTGTGTAGAAATTTGCATATCATGTCTGACGCAGGTTTCTGCTGGGAAACGTCATACATGTAGTGAAAACCGGAAACTTCAGAATCTCTTCGAATTGGATAACGAAATTAAGGATCACTTTGTTACCAAAGACAAGCAGCGTTTCTCAATCTATGGGTCGCAGGCTACCCTCAGGTGGGTCTCAGAAATTCAGATTGTTGATCATAGGTTTTTTAACTTGCATATAGAATACATCTGATTTTAAAATTATGCAGGGGTAATCAATTTAAAAGCCATTTTGGCATAATACAGCCAGTTTGGAAAGTCTACGCCATTTTGACTTATTTTGACCATTTTTTGGTATTTTAGGGCCATTTTAACGTGTCATGATTATTATAGGAGTTGTCATTTTTAGGCTGTTGATAAAATTTGTAGACCAATATAGCGTTTATGATTCAATTCTAGGTCGTTTTAATCTTGTTTAGCGATTGTGAGGCCTTGTTGGTGTTTTGGTGTTTCTTAGCAATTTCAGAGTTTTGAGGCTTTATTTTTTACTTTTTTAAATAATCATTCTGGTGTTAAAAGTAGGTCTTGATTCGGTTTTTTAACATCCTTATGAGCTGGTTTTCCAAATACATTGAACTTTCTACAGCTCGATATTTAAGGGACCATCGAGTTATAGAATATCAATCCCATACTAAATCTCTATTACAGTAGCCATGAAATTAATGTTTACTATGGTTCTATAACTCAAAATCGAGTTAATGGACATCGAATTGTGGAGAGTTGACTGTAGTTTTAATACTAGATTTTTTTGTGCTACTCATGCGCTTAGATAGCTCTTTTAGAGTCTTCAGATAATGTTTGAACGGTTTTATCGATTTACCACAAATTTGTCGATTCTAGCCATTCCATCTTGTTTTGCATTTTTGGGGTGTTTTGGCCTTTCAAGCTGTTAAAATATCATGGATTATTAACATCATTTTGGCCTAATAACATCTCGATCTAATATTGGTGGGTTGCGAGCTTATACAATTCCTAAAAGTGGATCGCAATCGAAAAAAGTCAAGAATGATTCCAATAACGCTTCAAATTGGTTGGCTGCCGCCAATGCGACTCGGTTTGTTTTGGAAAGCCATACACGTGTTGTTTTGGAAGGATGCAATTTCGATCATCAACTAAAGGTTTTGGACAATATGGATGCTATGATGAGACATTGTTTCGGTGATGAACTCATGGATGAGTGCATAGGTCTTTTTTGTGAAAGTTGGTCTACCGAAACCTCCGATAGCCAACAGCACCCATTTCTAAACAACAATAGCAGGCTTCTTAATTATTGTCATGACAACCATATGTAAAATATGTTCATCATTTGGACAACTACAACCAAAGCTAAAGCAAAACAAGTGAAGCTTAATAATTTCCCATAGTAAATCACCAACATCTCCATTTAAACTTCAATCCATTAGCGTGACCTCTCAACCTTCATCAATATCTACAATTTTTTGCAAAGACTCATATTTTGAATTTTAGTTCAAAATGAAGCACTCTGATGCTACAATTTCTTAGGTCAGAATTGATTTAAAGACTTCCGGCTCCGTACAGTTTTTTTGAACAGTGCATTCATACCAAATAAACAAATTGAAAAGATAATCTTCGGTAAGCCAAGTTCAGAAATTGTCCTATTTGCAAGAAAATCAAATTTTTAAGACTATCCACATTTCTTTCAGCTTTTCTGGGAACATTTTTCCGGATATTTTCCGGATATTTTCCGGAATTTTTTTGGCAACCCTGCTCTTGCCACTGAGCGCTCATATCCACCGATTGTTCATCGCCGTCGACCAATGTTCGTCCAATCCATTAAAACGGCGGCTTCTAAAATTCCTAGTCTACTTCTGCTGTGTGGTTTCCGATACTAAAATCCCTATCAAAAGATGTAAAATTCTTCGCCATTCTTGGCCTTCGTCGTGGATGTCCATGTTCTAAAAATCAGAATCAAAAAGTTCGCATCCGGTGGGCTATTGTTGTTGTTCGTTAAAAATTGGACAATCGTTTACACCGCGTTTATCGTGTCGCGATTTTGGCTATCGATTACAAGGTACAATTTTTGTTTTCTTGGAGTAGGTGTCTATATCGCTATATACGTTTGTTTGTCTATTTGTCGACAGATTTGATTTTAGATTTTTTTTTTGATTCAACGTGGTCTACAGTAATTTTTGTGTGATTCATCTAAAGAGTAAACATTGAATTACCATCAGTTTTGAGTTTTGAGGAATACAGTCTAACGTGTAGGTTGGCGGGGGTTACAGAGATACAGGTTCATAGTTGAGCTGTGTGTTGCCTTACGATTAATGGGAAACGAGAGAGAGATAGTGAACGAGAAAGTGAAATGGCAAAGGTATAACGAACGAGGATTTGGGTTTCCTTCTCGGTGCGCAGCACCACAACTAATCACATTCAACGGTACGACCGGATCGGATTACATGTAAGCCGGTTTCATTTTGTACGCTCGTTTCCAAATTTCGCACAGGCACACGGTGCTGTGGAATCGGTAGAAGATGGCCAGGGGCATCGAAACGTGAGTGATGATGGTCCACGCCCAGAGGCCATAGAAGTGCAGCTGGATCGGGTGTGACTCGGCACGGGACTTTTCCAGCGTGTTGATGGCCCACATGGCCAGGTTGCTAACCAGCAGGAAGGTTACGATTTCCCGACCTGGTTTCTTTCGCATGTGCTCCTGAGTTGCGGCGGATCGCCGACTGGCATTCAGAATGAACATGGTCTGGCAGGCGGTTTCCACCAGCGATGCTAGGGCAGTGATCAGCACCAGCACCGTGTCCCTTCGCATCATGAACTGACCTCCGATGATGGTGAAAGTGCTGTAGAGGAATGAACCAGTTTGGCCGCCGACCAGAAGGATATCATCAAGGCTGAAACTCCGGAATGCATCGTACTGCATGTGCCGGATCTGTATCATCCCGATTAACGTAGCAGCGGTCGTTGTCCCATACAATGTCAATTCGCAAATGTTAACCTCAGTGACAGCCAAGTTCACGAATTCGGGTCTTGAAATCAGCACGAAGAACAGAATCAGCGAGATGATGGTCAGCACCAGGATCAGAATGCCAATGAACAGTCCCTTGTGAGCTCCGGCACAGTCTACGGAGTAGTGGTGCGGCGATCGCTTCAACGGGTGTAGACTCTCCTGTCGTTGAGGTGGCTCCGATTGAGGTCGACTGATGCTACGCCACATGACGTACAAGATGGCTGCACAGATGAGCGAGTATTCGATCGTACATGGGAACAGAAATGGAGATGCATCCTGAACCAAGGTTCCGATGATGTTCGACCGTCGACACTCGAAGATATTGTGGGGACCTTTAAGGCCTCTGGCTACCCGCAAATGGGCAACCGTATCCACCGGGTGAGGAATAGTCTTGTGACCTAAAAAATAAATCCAAAATATAGATTCAATCCCTACCATCGATCCATTCAGCATAACCTACCCAGTCGATGCGATATCCGCAGTGTCCGGTTCTCCGGGTTGTAGAACGTCAGTATCTCGTGCTTGGTTTCCTGAATCAGCACCGAGAACCACACCGACAGATTGGTCCCGATCATGTGCATCAGTCCGAAGCGAGCCAAAATCTTGTGCCGATAGACTTTGATTTGCTACACGACGAATCAAACAAACCATTAATCATCACGCCCAATGCCATTAGATCATCGCATCAAACGAAACCGTCTTACCTCATTGTTCAGGAATATGAAATACATTTGGATAAAGATGAATGCCATCCGGGTGGCCGGAGTCAGCGCCAGCAGTACGTTGTGGCATTTGGTGTCCCGTTCCAGCTCAAAGTACTGTCCGAACTCCAGGCCGGAGTAGATCATGCTTCCGATTCCGAATGCTGCAATGAAGATTTACAGATCGTAAGTTCAATCATTTGTACGGTTAAATCAGTTTCGAAATTTACTCACCGACGGCTCCCATTCGGAGGTAGAAACTGCCAAAGTGCTGAATGCGGGAAGTGGCCGCCGAGAGGGACATCCGCCGGCTTGGAATCATGACCTTCGGTCCGGAGCTGACCGTGTCGTCGTCGCTGTCCGAGCGTTCACCACTGTCGGTGGAACAGGTCGTGCTGGTGCGGTGGATGATCTTTTTGTTGGGTGATTCTGGAAATTTGGAGATTTATTAAAATTTATGACCGCGGTAAGTGTGCGATGGCATGACTCACTATTGACGGGTGAAACGGTTGGCGTTTTGGGCCGGCCCCACAGCAGCGTCGTGTACATGAACAAAAGGAATACCATACTGCCTATGTAGAGATACAAGTAGAAGCCCTGGAAAGGAAAGTCGGATTTGGGTTGGATTTTGATTATTAATAAATTGAATGAAATCTGTTCTGTTGTTAAGTTTGAGCTAGTTAGTCGTCGACTAACCGAGATTTTACTCGAGTACAGCACTGATTAAGAATGACTTAATCAAATCCAAAAACTAGGTTCTTAGGAACATGGTTCACAAAAGCGGGATTTTCTCAAGCAACCAACTTACATACATCTCATATATTACTCATATAGGACAAAAGGTCGAAGGACATAAGGTTAAACTTAGGAGGACAAAAGGCTGAATACCAATACGAATTCGTTTGTCTCCCTTCTATTTATTCGAGATTGTGTCCTTTCGATCTTTTATCACCATTACACGTGAAGTCTATTCGACTTTTTGCTCCTCTCTAGGACATATAAACTTTTGTCCCTCTTTGGGCCATTCGACCTTTTGTTCGTTCGACCTTTTGTTCGTTCGACCTTTTTGTTCATTCGACCTTTTGTACATTCAACTTTTTGTCCATTCGACCTTTTTTCCCTTTTCATACCATTCGACCTTTTGTCCCTTTTTGAAACATTTGATCTTTTGTCTCTATTCTCATCATTCGATTTTTTGTCCGTACGACCTATTGACCCTCTTCAACATTTTGTCCATTCAATCTGTTGTACACTTGACCTTTTGTACCTTCGACTGTTTTTTCCTTTCTACCTTTTCTCCTTGCGACCTTTTTTCATTCGACCTTTTGACATTCGACGTATAGAGTTTATAGTTCCGTTATAGTCCGGCAGTGTGAAAATTGTGTACAGAGAGCGAGCAAAGGTCAATTTTGAGGTAGGTACGAATCGGATTGATCATCTCCTGATTGTCGAAATTGTTTTGACTGATTTCTACTGATAGTGCCTTCTTACTACTGCATACTTACTATTACTCATTTTTGAAGTTGTAATTACTCATAAATGGATAAAATTTTATTCATTTAGTGGGTAGTCCCACTTTCCTAGGATGGATGTGTTGGATATCTTGGAGTGAGGACCCCCCTGATCTTGACAATAGCTCTAGTGACCATATTATTTTAGTTAATCTAGTATATAGATTTTCAATATTTCATCACGTCTGCAATTTTAGCTTTTAGCTTAGCTAGGGAATTCTACGAAGTTTCCTGAACTTCTACGAAAGTTTTCGTGCTTCCATAAGGTTACTTGAACTTCAACTTAATTCCAAGAGCTTCCTTTTTTGAGAAGTTGTCTGATTTTTCCATAGTTTATTAAAATTTTCCTAAACTTCTAGGAAGCTCATTGATTTTCTACCAAGTTTGCTGAACTTATACAAAATTTGCTAAAACTCATTTAATACATATTGATATTGCTAAACAGCTGAACGTTCAAACTTTGAAACGGTTCTACAAAATTATCAAAACTTTTATAAATATTTGTTGAACTTTTACATAATTCCCTGCATTTTCAAGAAGCTCACTAAAACTTTAAAAAATTGCTGAACTTTTTCAAAATTCGCTGAACTTCTACAACGTCAGCTGAACTTCTACAATATGTTCTGCACTTTTAGAAAGTGTCTTGAGCTTCATACTAGTTTAGTTAATAGAAGTTCTACTATACTTCATGAATATTCAAAAAGTTCCCTGAAGTACTAAGTAGTTTTCGAGACTTCTACGATATTCTCTGAGCTTCTTAAGCTTCTGAACTACTTCGCAGTTTGTTGAGCTTCAAGCAAGTTTACCAAGCTTTTAGGAAGTGTCTTGAACTTAAATAAAATTTTCTGCAGTTCTATCTAGTTTATCGAATTGCTTCTTAATTCGCTAAAAATCTACAAATGTTGCTGAAGTAAAACGAAGTTCGGTGCAGTTCAACGAAGTTTCCTGTACTTTTATGAGTTGAGTTGATTTTCTACGAAGTTCCTTGATGTTCTACGAGGAAGTGTCCAATTCTCAACAAGAACCAAAACCCATCATGCGACATATCAAACTTCATGATTTTACAAATCTTGGCCGGTAATGATCTTATTGAGAGTCCACGGACATACAAGCCCTGACGGGCATATTCTAGCGCCCTCAGAAATGTTACGGTGCCTCCAAAAAGTGGCCATATCTCGACAAGAACCAAATAACGTCGTACGACATATCAAACTTCAATGGGTTTATTGAGATAACATGGTCACATTGGCCACCCCCGGTACCCACGGGGAAGTGGTCAATTTTCTACAAGAATTAAAACTGGTGTGCGACACAGCACAGTTCATAATTTAAAAAAACTCGGATGGTAATGGCAATATTGACAGTCAACAGTCACACCAGCTCCATCGGCCATGTGTGCCCCAAAGTAGTAGCCAATTTTCGCCCCGAAGAAGCAGCCAAAACCCGTCGTGTGACATATCAAACTTCATGGGTTTTCAGAACTCGGCCAGTAATTGCCTAATTGAGAGTTCACGGTCATATTCGCCATCCTAGGTATGTCCCAGTGCCCCAAAGAAATTATTAATTCTCGAATTGAACCAAAACCCGCCATACATCAAATTTCAAGATTTAACGTAGCTCTGTCAGTTTTGGCTTTATTAAGAGTCCACGATTACATTGGGGCTCTCGCGCATATTCCAGTGCCCCGATTAAGTGGACAATCACATTTAAGATAAGACATAATCAACAATAGTACGCCACAATACTCGGTTTGCGGCTGCCGCTCTTCATCCTCGGTCATTCCCAATGCTCGCTAGATCACGCTCTACCTGGTCCGCCCATCGTGCTCTCTGCGCTCCACGCCTTCTTGTGCCAACCGAATCAGTAGCGAACACCAACTTTGCAGGGTTGTTGTCCGGCATTCTTGCAACATGCCCACAGTGGTCGGAAATGCCAATTTGGTGAACTTAATTGTTTTGTGGTCAAACCGTTGACTTAATCCAACAACTATCTTCAAAAGAATTGTTCACAAAAACGTTGCGCATATTATGAAAATTTTCAATATTTGTCATGGCACACTATGAAAAAGTTAAGAAAAATAACTTTTTTTGCAAAAGAGATAGAAGGGTAATTTCTTGAGCAAAGTTGTAGTACTTACAAAAATATGAAACTTTGTTGAAGACATCAAATTTGTATGACGAATACTTGTGAAGATATGAAGCGTTTTTGATGGAAACCCCCTTAAATTCAGTTTTTCATGTATAACTTTTTTTATAACAGTTTTTTAAGTAAACAATGTTCTAAAAAAATGTAAGCTACATACAAATACATATTTTTGCTAAAGACAGTTTGTCGCTAAAAACATTCCTTTCAATGTTATAGTACATTTTACATTTATTTTTCCTTAATTTCAGCTGCATATAGGGGAGAAGGTGGCAAACCGGGACACAGCACCAAGTACTCTTTTTAAAGCTTAGACTCTTTACTACAAAGTAGTGAAGGTTTGGTTAGCGCCAATTCATAAGTGAGTGAATAGGGTCACGTTGAATGTTCACGTGTTTGGCCTTTTTCTATATAAAAATAACCCTGTCTCCTCATTTATGAACGGTAAGTTACGGATTATAGAAACAGATATTATCAAACTCATCCGTGAACAACAAGGAAATTTTCTGTATGTGTCCATTTAAGTGTGCATGTGAGGAAGAGTATGTAGGTTATTGTGGATTAAAAAAGGTTTTTGAATTTACTTTCACTTTCATTTATCCGCGCGAGTCAAGAAGAACATAATTATCTTGCTGTTAGGTAGTTTTATCTGTAGTTTAACAATAATAATTTTTCTGAGAAGTTAACATGATAACATGATTCACTTTTCATCTGTTTCCTCTTCGCTGTCTGGAAAATATAACAAAAATTGTGCATCTTCGGAAAACTCTCTGTCCTTCTTCTGAGATTTTACACGCAAACCAGCAATAAGTCGATCTGAAGAAACTAATATTCGCCGCATGAGATCACCGTTTATTGTAGCTCGTGATGATTTTCGAGTGTGATCTAGTCTGAACCTTTTCAGTACTTTATTTAGCGACTTTTGTGCCTCTTCAGACACAAAGACGTTTACTACCACTCGAACTTAGAAATAAAACAGAATTGAGTTGGTCCAGTTTTGTGAAATCGCTGTTATAAAGTCACGCCAAAACTGCTTGACAACGTGGTCTGTCCGATAGGGACATTGAAATGGAGAATTATGTCTGAACCGTGCATTAAAATCTTAGGGACCGTGGCGGGCAAGTAAAACCAAGGGTATAGGGTTACTAACAACTGAGCTTTTTCTAGACAATAGTTCTTGAACTTAGATGCATTGATTTCTCGTCCGGAAGACAATACCTGCGAAAAAGTTGAGCAACGTTCTATCACCTGCAGGTCGACACCCAAAATCTCTGCAGGAACTGCTGCATTCACAATTCCCAATTCTTGTTTGAAGCGTTGTCGGATAAGCTGCTTGCGGACTTTAACTTTTTCGGCATCAGGTCCAGTACATCTCCATTTTTTGACTTCTATTTTGTAGCTCAGGTGTAAAAATTATTCGAAAAATCTGTAACAATTTGTCAAATTTTGAATGGATTGAACAACGTTACATTACATTTTTATTATTTGATTTTTGCATGGAGAACTGATAATCCAAACTGTAATACTTCTCCATCGATTGGTCGCAAAAGAACGTTTTGAATATTATTCATTTGAGTGGGTGTATCCTTGCAGATATTACATCGCTGTGCTGATTTGGTGGTCGTAACAGCATTAACAACTTTGCCATCAATCATGGTCATATGTAGCCTATATTCGACTCGGATCCGACGACCATTGATTTCGAATTCTGTTGGCCGAAAATTTTGGAACTTATTATCCACATGCTCTTTTTCTATGAGGGTAGCTTCAGTTGTCTCACTAACCAACTGAATTCGCACGGGTCGGCAGTATCTTGTTGAGGATGGTATAGGGTTTTGCACCACCGCTTTAATTTCACTCTTTTCTAACCAAAATATATATTGACAAGTGGAGTACACTAAGCACACAAAGTGCTTGTCTTAGAAAATGTTTTGTTAATGCATA